CCATCGGTGGAGGGCGGGGATCGTCCGGGTACCGCCTCAGGAGGCGGCGCCGCATCTCGCTGATGTTTCCCCCCTATCCATCCCGAATTCAGTCCTGTGGGCGGGTCATTGCAGGCGCCGGACGGCGACCCGTCCTCCGCTCCCTCAAAGCCCGTCTGAGAAGGTCCACCCCAGGGGTGGCCAACCTTTTCAGCAGGCGGATTATAAATATGATAAATATGTATTTTAACGTCGATCGCAAAATCTCTCCAGACGCAGTGGCGATAATATAATAGAACGAAACTACAGAATAACACGGAACTTTGTCAAGCTGGACTGAAAGTAGTTATGAGTATGAGCCCGATAGCGTTTCGAGCTTCCCGAAGACGCCGAAGACCACAGAACATATATATCAGAAGTTGAAGTCTTATATTAAATTTTATCAACACCTAGCGTCGGACAAAAGACTAAGTAACCTTGAGTGTCAAATAGCGGGATATTTGAAATAGCTAAAATCTATGAATTTTCCCGAAAATGCGGGATATTTAAAATAGCTCAAAACCAATGAATTTTTCCAAAAATGCGAGATATTTCAAATTTCTCTTAGCTATAATTTAAAAATATATGATACGAACGACTCATGATGTAATGTTCTTTTGGTGATATGTACACTATCAGGTTGCAGTTTAACGTGCGGTCTACTACCGAGAGGCCTACCCGCACGGCCCCCCATGGGGCGTGGGATTGAGATACGCCCAATCAACGCGGTCGTCCGACTACATCAATCATATTTATTGGACAATTTAAAAATATTTAAAAGTGAGACATCTGACTTTGTTTTACAGAACTAAGTGCATCAAAATTGATCTCGACTGATGTTGTCGCTACATCCAAACAGTTTTCCAAATGAACATCAGTAATTCGTGTTCTCACTTGTGATTTGATGTGCTTCATGCGACTAAAAAGCTGTTCACACGCATAAGTGTTTCCAAATAGCGAAACCATCGACAGAGCATGTTTGTAAAACGCAGGATATTTATCCTTGTGCAAATACGTTTTATAGAATTCTCCCAAACCAACTTGATGGAATTTCTCCTTTAACTGTGTATCACAACACATTTCACAATGTTCCATTTGTAATCTTCCTGGTAATAAATTCACGTCTACCGCGAATGGCGTTGCAAATGCACAAAAAAGCACATGATGTTTTTCAAAATCTTGAAATCGGTTTTCAAATTCGAGGTTTAAGTGAGATATCAAAGGAGCGTATTTATCCGCCGCCTCCTGTGTGACGTCTGGTTGCAATGACAATGTAGGAAAGTGAGTAAAGTTTTTTGTCTTCAATTGTTGTTCCCAAAAACCAAGTTTCATTTGAAATGCAGAAATATGATCATACATCTTATTAATTAATTGATCTTTCCCTTGTAGACGAGTATTAACGTCATTTAGGTGGCTAGTTATATCGACCAGAAATGTAAAGTCGCAAACCCACTCTTTGTCTTCAAACTCTGGGATACTTTTTGACTTGCTTGCAAAGAATGATTGTATTTCTTGCTGCAAATCAAACACTCTTTTCAACATTTTGGCACAGGTCAGCCATCTTACTTCTGCATAAAATGTAACGTCATTATAATCTGAGTCCAAAGACTTTAGAAATATTTGGAACTGACGGTGATTCAACCCGTTCGATTTAATGAAGATCTCTATTTTAACGACCACTTTCATGACATGGTCCATTTTGAGGGACTTCGAACATAAATTCTCCCGATGAATAATGCAATGAAAATTTAGCATTGAAGTATTACTGACTTTGGAGGCCTCATTTTCATTCAATTTTACTAAACCTTCGTGTTTCCCAACCATTGCTGGAGCACCATCCGTTGTTAAGCCCGATAAGTTGTTAAGTTGTAACGAAAAGCGATTCAATGCCGATGTAACTGCCTCTAACAAATCTCGTGACTTAGTAGTGTCCTTAAGTGGATACAGTGCCGCTAATTCTTCTGTCTTTTTAAAATGGATATCAACACCCCTGATAAAAATTGCCAGTTGGGCAGTATCTGCCATCTCTGTGCTTTCATTCAATGCTAGAGCATAAAATATAAACTCGGATGCTCGACTTTTCAAATTATCTTCAATATGCTTTCCAATGTCGTCCACTCGCCTAGTAATAGTCTGACGAGACAGACCTATTTTTAAGAACTCCTTCTTT